GCAAAAGAAGAAATAGCACCAGGCTAACCTGTATCTCCATAGCTAAATAATAAAATAGCCAAATGGGTGAGCTTTCTATCTGGACCTATGAAAAATTTGGGCAAATGATGACTTTGGAAGTATTCTGAAAGCGATGTTTTGGTTCACAGAATCTGAAAACAGCAGGAAATGTCCATGCTTCAAAATTTATATTTTACATTCTGCATAGAATTCTCTGGTTTAGAATGCTCTAATGGTTAAAATGCAGTACGTCTTTTGTTTCTGCAAGTCTGTAGTGCACATGAGCCTTGAATAAATGAAAAAGAGGCCGAAGGCTAGTGTCAAGTCACACCCTTCTGACAATGAAGGGCAAGACCAGCCTTGTGCAAGGCCAAGTGTGTATTATGGGGTAATATACACGTACACCTTTGCATGATTGTCTTGCAAAGCTGTAGTCCCACCTGTCTCTCTTCATTCCTACTAGCTCAGACTTTAGACCTGCTGTGCAATCTTTGGCAACTTCCTTAATCCAGCCCTCCTACTTGAAAAAGAACTAACTTCTATATTCTTTGCATCCAGAAAGTCCAAAATGTAATTCCTGGCCTTTCAAATTAAGAGATACCAGGCAGTAGATGTTGGGAAAGACCTTTCTCTGCCTGAGACCCTGCAGAGCAACTGTTAGAGTTGACAGTACTGAGCTAAATGAACTAATGGCCTGATTTGGCATAAGGCAGGTTCATATGTGTAACTGTGTGTGTGCAACCCCTTTTACTCTTCCCCAGGGGTCATTTCGTAGAAAAAGAGCTGCAGGAGCTCATTAGCATAACTTATTAGCATATGCCACACACACTGACATCACCGGAAGTGTGCACCAGCCCCTCTGACAGGCAGAAGCATCTGGGATCCATTCTTTCCCCCCTCTCCCTTCCCTTCGCCTCCAAGTCGGGCGAAAGAAAAGGGGAGGGGGAGGATCTCAGGCGCTTCTGCCTGACAGAGGTGCTGGCGTGCCCACAGCCAGCCTGGGTGAATTATAGAATCATAGACTCATAGAGTGGGAAGGGACCTCCAGGGTCATCTAGTCCAACCCCCTGCACAATGCAGGAAATTCACCAATACCACCCCACCCCAGTGACCCTTGTTCCACACCCAGAATATGATTTAAAAAAAAAACAAACTCCAGAATCATTGGGGGCCAAACTGGCCTGGAGAAAAATTGCTTCCTGGCCCCAAAGTGGCGATCAGCATTTCCCTGGGCGTGTAAGAAAGGGCCACAAGAACTAAGCACCGATGCAACCCTTCCTGCTCTACCTCTCGTGATTTGCCTAAGTTCACACAATCAGCATTATGATCCTTTTAAAGTTGAAAGCATGATATAAATGCAAACGACTATTTGTAAAATTATCTGTAAGACACAAGACCAGGACGCATCTCACTTCTGGCAATCACTTGGAGAGACCCTATCACTCAGCTTCCATTGCCCCCCACACACCCCACACTGGAATAAGAACATAATATCAGGCCATAGCACATTGCAATAAAGCCCCTACAACTGTATACAGAAATACAGCGATGGTGGCCATAACTTTTTAAAGAGCCCCTCCCGAGAGCTGGGGGAGCCAGAATGACCTTTGGGGTCACACGCAAGAGGTGGAATTTGCCCCTAAGAGTCCAAGACCACCATCCCGGGGCTCAGGGAGGCA